TGTCATCTGCTTTTGCAGGAAAAGTGTTCTGACAGCACTATCTTGTGGACACCGCAGGAAATTCATACTGAATGAACCGATTTTAGCATAAATGGCTGAATTTCCTTAAGGATTCTGCAGTCAGTCGTGGGCACTAGATTTTCTAATGGGTGGCTGATGTTTAAAAAAGGAGTGTTTCACTGCTTTTTGTGGCTCCTAGCTATGTGGAGAATACAGTGGCCATGAGCAATGCAGCACCATTCAGCCCTGGGTGGGACATAGCTTGCTTCCAGGCCCAGCTGTAGGAGGTGACAGCATGCAAGGCCAAGAACAGATTTCACATCTCCCTGTAAATAAAACCTCAAGCAAGCTCCAGTGGCAGTAGCTCGTAGCATCTAAGCATTTCTACCTGTAGGTAGCTGCCCTGTTCCTGAACACACCCACCTCTGAACAGCTTAGGTCCAGAGAGCTGGCACAACTGGGGTACTCAGCCAGGGAGCGGTGCCAGTGGTGAATGGGTGAACCCTCCCTGGGAGGAACATGTTGCAGTCCTTTCCCACCCAAAGGAAGCCACATCTCTAAGGTCCCTTTCATGGTCCTGTAGATTTTGCTCCACCGGTGATTTTGCTCTCACCCAATGGCTTTTGTGGCAGTCAGGGTGAACCTTGCAGAAGATGAGGGACCCTGAGATCTACACTCCGCTGGTCACCCTAGCACGTCTCAGTCACCTGGATACCCACGGACTGTTGATACCCATTGGTACTTCCAGCAGCCTAGTAGGAGCAGTTCAATAGATTTCCCTAAGAAAGTATATAGAAAAGAATTTTTCATCTATTTTTCACCAATATAGGGATAGCTCCACCGAAATGGAGCCTCAAAAAATTATTCGACACTCGTGCTTGTTCCTCTCCACGGAAATCTTTAGTAAAAGGCGAAAGATTTATACGATCTGAAGAGAAACCAGAGTATACCCCTCCCTCTCTCCCCGACCCTGCCCCCGCCTGCCCCACGCCCCGAACCTCAGGGTGACCCGGGCGCGCCCGGCGCTCCCGGCCCCGCGGCCCGGCCCGGCCCGGCCCCTCGGGCTGCACCCACCGGGCGGCCCCGACAGCCCGGGCGGGGCAGCGGCAGCAGCGCCGGACACCGGCGGGGCCGCGGGGCACGCTGGGTATGCAAATCACCGGTAACGGGGCGGGGCTAGGGAGGAGGAGGAGGCGGTGCGGGCGGAAAGGGGCGGGTGAAATGGTTGGGCACCAGCCCCAGCCTTGGAGCGGATCCCTTCTCCCCACGGTACGAATCGCAAGGGACCATTTAGTCCGCGGCTCCGCAGTTTTGTAACTAGATAACCGCGCGGATGAGAAACCCCTTACCATCGCTTTTTTTTTTTTTTTTTTGAACAGAATAAGGGCAGCTCCATCGGAATGGAGCCTCTAAAAATTCATTAGCACTCGTACTTGTTCCTCTCCACGGAGCGGCGGCCCTGGCGGGGCTGCAGCGCCCGGGACAGCGGGGCAGGTTCCTGGCTGGCCGCTTCTCCCCGGACCTCGTGTTCTGATCGGAGGGGGCCGCACCGGTAGGGAGAGGGCGCTGCGGAGGGACCGAGTGCCGGGTATCAGCGCTGCCGGCAACCGAACCGGGTCCAGATTCACCTTGAGCATCGGTCCGGAATCGACCCCGCAGCAGACACCTCTCCATTCCCTAGGAAGAGGAGTAGTCGACCCTATCCTAAATGCGATGCTGCGATGCACAGTGGGATCTCTTATCACAGTCCCCCAATACCCATCTTTTCTCTGTTTTTAACCAACACAAGAATAGCTCCACCGAAATGGAGCCTCAAAAAATTCAAACGCACTCGTACTTGTTCCTCTCCACGGAAATCTTTAGTAAAAGGCGAAAGATTTATACGATCTGAAGAGAAACCAGAGTATACCTCCCACCTTTCCCCTGCATATACCCGCTCCCAGCTTTTCCTCTAGAGTCATGGCGATCTCCACGACTCTCAGTTCCACCCTCCGTTTCTTCGGCCCGTCCCCCCAGCAGTGACCGACCCGGCTCCACACCGGAGCCAACGACCGGAGAGCGGCGGCACCGAAAGGCTTTACCGGGGCTGCGGTGCCGGGCGCGGCGCACCCTGGGTATGCAAATGAGGGAATACTAATGAGGCGGCGCGGCCCGGCGGGAGCGGGGTTTGGGGATGTATGGCTGAGACCTCCTGAGCTCGCCCTTGCCACACTTGCCCAGGCCAGCCACGGCCTGCCCCAGAGCGCTCAGGGTGGGTACACAAATCCTGCCTTCCTACTGGACCTCCAGGTGCACAGAGCGCAGCACACCCAGCACGGGCTCCTCGAGGGCACAGGGCACCTCTCCCACCATATGCTGAGGGGAAAGGACAGAGTGACGGGGACAGCTTTCACACAGTTCTCCAGGTTGTTCCCTTCCAGGCACCAGGGCTCTTCAGTGCAGCCCCAGTGCCAGGCCTGGGCAGGAAGGATTGGCACAGATGCAAATGCTTCCCATTTTCTCCCACCCCTGGCCCCGCCAAGGCTCAGGACCCACCTGCACGACCCTGAGCATCGGCAGAGCCCATGCTGGGCCCGTGGAGGTACACAGCAGCACAGCTACAAGGTAGACTTGGCTCTGGTACTTGGGATTGCCACAGCCTGAAGAGTCCAGCAGAATCTGCGTGTCGTCTTGACCCACTGCTTTGTTGGAAGAGGCCAAGAACTTGGCGAGGTCTGGTACCCCTATGCAGAGAAAGACATGCCAGCTCATGTGCCTGGAGGAGAATGGGTCACCCATCTCAGCTGTTTCACTGCCACCCCAAGAGAACCCACTATCACATCCCACTTGGAGTGTGGTTCAAAGAGCCAGGAAAAAAATTTCTCTGCCTTTGTCAGGAGCCACACCATCAACTGGAAAAGCAACTGGAAAAATTCTCAGCTGGTTTAGGTGGCCAAGGAAGGCCCTTCCGCGAGTGTTTACGGAAGTGGAGTCTGGCACTGGAATGCCAAACAGAGCTCATAAGGATCCTGCTGCTGATCTTGTTGCTTCATCTCTCTAGGAGGAAGCTGTGACAGCATGCATCACCCCATGGCCTCTGACAACATCCTCCAGCTACAGAACTAACAGGGTTTGGCTTCCACTGCCTGGGAAAAAAAAAAACAGGGAAAAAAAATGTTGTGACGGTCTTTCAAAGATATGAGCTGTGAGACCCTCCCACCCCAGAGGGGGACTCTGGGAAAGTTTGTAGAAGGTGAGTGCTGCAGGTAAGAATAGAAACTGTTTTGTGGTTTTAACCAGCAGGGCAGCAATATTGTGCCAATATGACTCTGAAGAAAGTGAGCTCGTTAAAAAATGAGAGGGGATGAAATGCAGGCACTCAACAATAGCTGAGACTCTGAACTCCTTCCAGCCAGACCAGGGCTGCAGTGATCTGCCATCTGCAGCTGGAGGGGAGGGAGTGGCTCAGCACAGCAAGGAATCCCAGGGGCCAGAGGTCAGGGAGAACATCCTTGCCTGAATTAAGGACAATTCCTAAGTAGATGGACACTGCCTACTGTAGCTTTTGCAAATGAGCTCCTTATACTCCCTACCAGTGTCTGCGGCGAGCAGCAGCAGCTTTACAGACTCCCTTTTGTCCTCTACTTTCAGGTGGTTCAGCCCCAGTATTTCCAGGGGAATCGAGACACCTCCGATCTCCAGAAATTCAGTAAGGTATGTGTGGCTTCCAGGATAGGGGGAACAAAGCCAGAAGTCTCTCCTGCCTTGGAGCCCATCTTCCTCTGCCAGCAGGCCGTGCTCCTGTGAGCCATCACCTTGCTGCAGCAGGTGGAGGTCTGAACTGGGTACTGTCTCTGCAAGAGAGCATGGACCTTCCTCTCACAGGTGGGCAGAGGCAGCATGCTCATCCCAGTGCAAGAAAAACGCTAATTCTAGGTTCCTCAGAGACAGGTTACATGGGATTTCCCTTCAGTTTCATCTTTAGATAACCAGGTTGTTTTTCAGTCCTACAGAACATTGCTGGATATGGATGTCTCCATACAGAGCTTATTCTTTAACCTAATTTTTGGTAGAGAACTTGCTCCTCTTCTCCGTCTCACTACCACACAGCACCTCCAGCTGTCCAAGGAAACAGATATGCCATCCCCAGCCATGCTGTCGGGTGAGCCAGGAACAAACTGGCTCCCTGGGAGAACTCCAGCTCCAGCTCTGGTTCTGCCTTGCTTTTAATGAAGCTGTCCAGGATGCAGCTTCAAGCAACTTTGTGGGCACTATCCCAATCATGCAAGAAAACTGTGAGCTTCCTGATGGCTTCCTGCTTTTTGATAGAAGTCAGGATCTCTTCTTCCTAGAGAAAAATGAGAAAGAAGTTTTAAAAAGGGCTGTGAAGATAGAGAAAGACCATACTAAGGAATTACTACCAGAATCACATTTAAAATCTCTGGCAAATAATACTAAAGCACTTACTAATCATTAATTTAGTCTCATTTTCCCTTATAGTCATTTCATAGATAGGAAAACTGAGGCAAAGGGAAAGTTCCTGGTATGTCTGAAGCTGCACCATGAATCTGTGACAGCTTGAGATTATTTTCCAGGGCAGGTGGTTTCACTACAGGAGCTTTCTTCTCTGTTCTGTTCTGTTAATAGAGTCGTTTTGATGTTTCCCATTACCCCAGCCCTGGTCTCTCACTAGCCTCATGATATGAACACTGCATCTCATATCTGACCTGCCAGGGAATAAATAGGGTGAAATGAGAGCAGAAATAGGTATGGATTTATGGGGAGTGACAGGGTCAAGGGGGCTATAAATGCCTGTTAGCAAAGCAGCGCAGCCCTCACACATGCTGGAGCAACAGTCTTCTGGCCCACATCCACCCTAGGAATATGTGCCTGGCCTTGGCAGTGGAAGAATGCTTTGCTACCCTTTGGCATTACAGACATTTGCTTTGTTTTTTTCCTATCTAATTTCCCAGGCATTGTTTTTAAACAATCTAAGAAAAGCTGAAATGATAAGACCTACATGCAAGAAGGCAGAAGCTCCAGAAACATCCTGTGTCTGCACTTCCTTCCATCCCTTCACACAGGGGTTAAATAAAGCAGCCCACATTTTGCCAAATTGGCAAACGTTTGACCCTACTCCAGCTTGACAAATGTGAAGGTGCACTTAGGGAGATGAAGTATCAGGGATCAAGCTCTCCATTTGCTCAGGGAGGTGGCAGTCCCACTGCTGTGTATGTGTTTGGCTAGAGGACACTGACCATCCTAAGGAGTTAAACACCAGGATCTGTGTCCATACACGGATACAGAAAGAGGGATAAGGTTGCAAACAGCTGCATTGACACAGTGCCTTGTCCTCCACCGAGCTCTATCAACATGCCTAAGGGTAAGAAAGGAGTTCTCTGCTTGTCTAACGCACTTCTTGGACTTCCTACATAAGAGAAGCACCGTTTTAGGTTTTATTTAAGTGTGGTTTAAGAGAAAAATAGACTGACACACAATCTTTGGATTTCAAAACAAGAAGTTTCTTTCAATGTAATACAAATCACCAAGATTACCAATTCCCTATCTACAAAATTCTTAAGTCCTTTCTCCTAGAATCTGGAACAAAATTCCAAAGCAGTTCCAGAATATCCCCAAGATACTTGCTCAAAAGTAACTTTTTATTCTTTTTATCTGAACCAGACGGAAAACAATGACTAAGAGGTGAATATGTATCTCAGAGCCTGAAAACAAACAAACAAAGTCTTTAAAAAGCCGTCTGAGGAACAATGTTTGAGAATTAGGATGAGATGAAGTTTCATTTGGGAATTAACGGTCTGTGCTCTGTAAGGAGTCTGTGCCCTTGGCAGGGCGTTTTCAGGATCTCCTTTGCGGGGAAGCAGGTTTAAAATAAATCCATTTTTTTCCCAAAATAGTTGTGATTGAAAATGTTATTAGCCATAACAAATGTTAGTGCTGACAGGAGAATGGCCTGTTAGGGGCCTCTGCTGAAACAGTCAAGTGAAAGTCATATTTCACATTATTGCAAGCATTTTCCTGTGATTTACAGAATATTTGTGAAACATTACTTACAAGGCATATGATTGATATTGAGAGAACAGCTCGTGTGTAGGGGGAATGTGTATTTCACAGAGACTGTTTGCATGAAATTTACAGTCCCATAAAGTGCTCCTCTGTCCTCAACAGAGATCTAGTTAAAAGAACTTTACAGTCTGAAACATCCCAAAATTGATTCTAAATTAACGTTTCCGTATTTATGTTTAGGATGCTGGTGGTGTAGTGCTGTCCCATTTTTTATTATAAAGCTGCAGTAACCCTCCCACTCTTCAGAAACGCCAGCACCAGCCTCTGGACGTGAGGATTTTATTGATACAAAGGGCTTGCCTATGGATCAATGGAAAAAAAAAAAGAGGAGTTTGAAACAGTGATGACATGGGGCTTCAGAGGATACAGTGGTTACCCTGGCTGCTACAATCACGGCATCTGCTGACACAGTAATCTTTAAGCCAACATTGCAAAGTAGCCTGAAAATGTGCATTAATATTGTTCTTATGATCATTTTACATATGGGAACGTACAGACACAGAGGAGTTAAATGGCTTGCCTGAGTCGTTTGTCAGTGCTAGCATCAGCACGTAACTCCTGGTTGTTGGCTTCAAACTCTGCTCTCCACAGTGCTGGGCTGCCACCCCAGTCCACTGGACCTAATAATCAAAACAAGGCTGGGTCAGGGCAGGGCTTTATTCCTGCCAAGAAAAACACCAGTGATTTAGGAACTGGCCCTGGCACTTCAGCAGTTCTTTACATCCAGAGTGCTGCTAAATCATCAGTTTGAGATCAAAAGGCAGGCTGGTGCTGCGTCAGCCTCAGTCCGAGTGCGAGGTGCCCTGGACTCGTAGAAAGACAAGAGTGGCGGTGATTTGGTGTTGCACATCGAGGTTGTGCCCAGCCTCAAGCAGAACTTAGAGCTTCTGCTCCCTGGCAGGTTTCACCCTCACCTTAAATCCCCCGCCACCCTCCTCACGCACAATGCACCTTCCTCGGTGTACCCCAGTGTGCCCAGCCTCTACCACCCTACTGTCTGTCCTGCCCCCCAGCCCCGCTGCTAATGCAGCCACGGCCCCAAACCCAGCCCTGCACGGCCTCACCCCGCCACCCCCACCCTGCTTCCATCCCACCCCTGCCCCGCCTGCCCCACTGCAGCCTCAGCGTTCCCTGCCCCAGCCCACCATCCCACAGGCCCGATCCAGCCCAACCGCAGGCCCTTGCGCTCCCAAACCCCACACTGTGCCCCTACAGTCCCTCACACGCTCCCTGACGCCCACGCCCAACCCCTGCATCGCCCCTCCTGACCCCAGACTCTCTTCCCAGCCCCTCTGAGCGTGATCCCCGCTCCAGGCCCAACCGCTCCCCCCATCCCGGCCCCGCAGCCCCTCACTGACCCCATCCCGGGGGGGCGGTTACCCCGCGCAATAACTGACATGTGGCTGCACCAATCGCCCGCCGCCTTTCCCTCCGGCGGCCCAATGGGCGCTCAGTGGGCGGGGCGCCGGGCCCGGCGCTAAGGGCGCGTTGCTAAGGAAGGGGTGGTGAGTCGGGGGCGTGGCCAGAGGGGAGGTGGGGCGGGCGCTTCGCCTCGCCATTGGCTGCGGGGCGAGGGGCGGGGCTTGTGTCGGGGCGGGCGGAAGCGGCGGCGGTGGCGGCCATGGGCGCCCGGCGGCTGGAGGCGGCCGTGGTGGAGCTGCAGCCGGGACCGGGACCGGCACAGGACCGCGATGCGGGGCGAGCGGGAACAGGACCGGCACAGGACCGCGGTGCGGGGCGGGCGGGACACCAGGGTCGGCAGGGATTGGGGGAGCCCTGTGGGAAGTGGGCTGTGGGACCCCCGAGGGGGGTACCGTAGCAGGTGTGTGGCAGTGAGGGCAAGGCAGGGCAGATCAGGACGCTTCCTTTTTACCCCCAGGGAAAACAGGGGGGCACAGCAGCCGGTGGTGCCCCCGGGAGCAAGGCTATCGGCCCCCCTCGTAGGGATGAGCTCGGCCTGGCTGCAGAGCGGTGTGAGCTGCGGGGGCTGGCGCGGCGCTGTCCGGCGGGCAGGGCCCTGCGGGGACACCGGGCTGAAGCCGCGCTCACAGACCGAGCTGATTGCTGCTCCGCCACTGCACTGAAACTCTGCTGACCGGCCAGTCTGTGATCTGTTTCAGAGAGCAGCGCAGAGAGAGGGCACGCAGAGCGCCAGCCCGTGGTGATCCTGCTGGGCTGGGCGGGCTGCCAGGACAAATACCTGGCCAAGTACAGCGCAATCTACAGCCAGAAAGTGAGTAGCTTGTCTGTGTTTTCATGGCACTGCCTCTTTTCTGCATGTCGGTGAAGTCGCTCTGAAGCCCCTCTCGATCTGCAGAGTCATGGGGAGGGAGTGGCGAGTTCTCCTGTCATTGAGAGCTCCTTATCTGCCAGAGGCCAGGCAGTGTTATCTAACAGCTCCCGATGTCACCTTCCTGTGTGCAGATGGGACAAAAATACTTCCTCGGAGAAACTTTCAGCTGCGTTGTGAATCACTGAAGTATTTTAAGGCTTTTAAAGTTGTGGGATTATTCAGGAATGACGTGAAGTGTGTTGGTTTTCCAGACGAGTAAACGTGCAGGGAAAGATCCTGCATTTACTGGCTGCTGTTTGGCCACAGCACAAGCTTGGCAAGGCTGGGCGCTGACAGAGCACGTCGGCATCTGTCGCCCCTTTGGCTCTTCCTTCCTGTGAAAATGATTCCTCTAATTGTTGTAATCTAAATTAATTTTATCCTGCCTCTGAAACAGGCATCTTGTGATAGTTCATAGCTTCTCACTAGGAGCTCCTTGTATTTGAACTAAGGAGGTCCATGCTGCTGCCAGCTCCCTAAGTCATGATATTTTCCTTTCTAATGCTGTATTTTACTGGAATGACCTCAGCTTGTAGTGTGAGGACCCAGTGAAACACTACATTTTTTTTTTTTCTTGGTCAGCCTACAAGGAATCCTGTATTTACCCAAATCTGCTTCAGCTATAGGTGGTAAAGTTTGCACATTAACAAGTCTATTGTTAATGTGTAAACCGGTGCAGGAGTCATTAATTGGCTCGATCTAGTGAAGAATTAATTGTTAAGTGGCTGCTGTGACTAAGAGATGTTGCAGAGCAGATGAGGAATACATTACAGGGCAGCGTGATAACTTCTTGGATAATACTTTCCTATCAGAAAGGTCATAGAAAGGGGAAAGGAGGGAAAGGGTTTTCTTAGCTCCCTAAGAGGGAAAGGGAGTAACTGTGGCAGGGTGGTTGAGGGGAGTAACTGTGGCAGGGTGGTTGAGAAGAATTTAATTTAAGAACTTGGTATTCTCCTCTTCCTTCTGCACTGCTTAGGGAGCTCTGGGCTCTCTGGGTGGCTTCGCCTTGTGTTTGTCAGTGTGTAATGTCAGTGAGCTTAGGTGACAGAAAAGATCTAGAGCATTTATAGATGTGGTTCCATCTGCTCTATTTAGAAAATCCTCCATGATCCTGTTTCCTGTGCAAGGCTTTAAGTGTAAAGGCAGTTGCTCGGGAGTTCTGAGTCTCTGAGCCAGGGCTCTTCTTTTGCACAGCTGGAACGTTTCAGGGAGGTTTACAAAAACCCTGTCAGTGGAGGCTGAGGGTGAATCTCAGAGACAGCTGCAAACAAGTGCTAACCAAGGAGAGGAGGAAATTCCTCCTCCTCCTTGTATTTATTCCAGTGTCATGAGCTGTGCATGGATGTGCACCACGTCAGGCTCCTCTTTCCAAAATGGCTGATGCTGGAGGTCTGTGAGTCACGGAGGTGGTTTTCTCCTCCTGGGTGAGGACTAACACTCGTGTAAGTGGGTGGCAGTGTCCCCAGGGGCTGGGCTATTAGTGCAAGATTTGAAAGCATCTCAGACATCAGCAAAGCCAGGCTTCTGCCTCCACAGAGACCTTTTCATAACAGTGCTATGATTATGTAATGTTGTGATTACTGTAATCCTGTTTGTATCAGTGCCTTGCTGCTGACTCTAAAGACTTTCTTCTGGCCCCATGGTTTCTGTTGGAAACCTGTCCTAAATTTTTGCATTCTTTGTACTGATGCTTGCCTACAACCTGTAAGTTACAGCACAGCCTAAATGTGTCTGGGGTCCCTTTCTGTTCTTCTCAGGGTTGCACTGTCATCCGCTACACGGCTCCATGGAGGATGATATTCTTCTCGGAGACCTTTGGCATCAAATCGCTGCAGACCCCAGCCAGGCAACTCCTGGAGCTGCTCTTTGACTACAGGGTTGAAGACAGACCGGTCCTTTTCCATGTTTTCAGCAACGGTGGCGTCATGCTGTACCGTTACATCCTCGAGGCGCTCCACACCCACCAGCCGTTCCGGAACCTCAGAGTAGCCGGCACCATCTTCGACAGCAGCCCCGGCAGAAGAAACCTGATAGGAGCCCTTCGCGCCCTGGCCATCGTCTTGGTCTCCATGAACGTGCTGCTCAAGTATTTCCTCCTGCTCACCTTTGCCACGGCCGCCGTGGGGCTGAAGGTGCTGCTGTACCCCCTGACGCGCTTCCTGCACGAGAGCCACTACGACGCCCTGCTGAAGGCGCCCTCGCGCTGGCCCGAGCTGTACCTCTACTCCCAGGCCGACGCCATCATCAGGGCCAGCGAGGTGAAGTGCATGGCTGACACCAGGCAGCAGCTCGGGGTCCCCGTGAAGGCCGTGGACTTCTCGGACTCGGCCCACGTCAGCCACATGCGGGTGTATCCCACCTACTACAGCAGCCTCTGCACCACCTTCCTGTCCGACTGTGTGGGCGGCTCACCCCCCTAGGCGCCGTAAAGACCCTCAGTGTTTGCTTTGCTCAGCTTGTAAGGGAAATTGTCACCCCCCTTTGCCTTCGTGTCTTTGAAGGGAGGAAAGCAGAGACTTCTTGTTTGGTTTGGTTCTGCTCTTTTTCCCCCTCACCCCTGCCTGCCAAGTCTGGAAGCCTCCAGCCTGGTCTTTGGACCAGCCACATTACAGCAGAAAGTAGATATGGATTAATTTATAGTACCGAAGGTGAAATCCTGTCATGGTTCATGTTGATGTACTTTGCCAAGGTGTCACAGACCAGAGTTTCACACTGTTATTTGTTTCTTCCTGTCTCTTCTTGTTCTCTGCTTTCTGTGTTGTCTCCTTGTCCCTGATGTCCAATGTGCATGTTCTGTGGCTTGTACTGATTTAACAATACAGCTCTTTCATGTCTTTGTTGTTTGTTTGTTTGTTTGTTTTCTCTCTCTGCCATTTCTTTTAATTGCAGCGAGCAAACAGAACCGTCTGCAGGATTTTTCACTCCTCTCAGTGCTCCTTGATGGAGATCAGGCCCAGAAACCAAGTTTAAGACCTGGAAAAGGTGTGTGCAGGGCATTACGACCGGTCTGTCACCTGGTTTCATTAAATAGCTGAGATAGAACAATCAAAGCTCTCATCCTTTGTGGGAGCTCAAATGTTTGTGGTAACTTTTGCGTTCTTCAACCCAAATTAAGTTAATGGTTTTTAATGTGTCTTGTGTTTTGTTTCTCTTTCTTCCAGTTTTTTTTTGTGTTCCACTGAGTAGTTTTGCTTTCTGGGAGAACTGCTTCTTTGTTATCGAGTGTCTTTGAGCAGCCTATGTTCTGCATCTGGATATTCAGGGAAACTTTTGGGTTACAGCTGTGCCAGACTTCTGAAATAAAAAGGTGAAACTGCAGAGGAAAATGGAACTGTTTTTTGGGGCTATGATTTATTCTGTTCAGATGATCAATCTTTGCAGTCCATGCAATGTGTAGAAGTTAATTCCTTCCACCTAGTGGAAGAGTAGCTTGTTGCACTGAACTTCAGCCACGTTTGGTTTTAGGTTTTGTCGTTTATTTGGGGGAGAAGTGGGGATAAAGACAGAGGAGAGCCTGCTAATATATGTTTATGCTATGTCACGGCATTGCCAGCAAGTTAATAACATGGTGAACAGGACTAGCCAACTTTAAATTGCCAGGAGGAGGCTCTGGAGGGCTGTGACATGGGCCTGTTTGAACAAGGAGCTGCCCTTGAGAGGTTGGCACGTAAAAGACATGAGGGTTTCCGCAGGTGGTTGCTGCCTGTGCTGGTCTTGCCCACCCTTGGGGTGCTGTCATCCACAATTACAAAACACTTGGCTGTTCTGGATCCAAACACCAAGGGGGGAGGTCTCTTGGGAGGCACTAAAATAATTTGGAAGTTTAAAACAAGAACTGTAGCACCTCACAGAAGCACAGGGTGAGAGGTCAGGGGTGACCAGCACAGCTGTTTTTGGCAGACTAGTGTGGGAACCCTCATTTACAGCAGAACAACCCCATGTTGGGCGTGGTTTTAGAGGGAGGATTGGGGTGTATAAAATAGGTGGGAATTAACTGAGAAGGGGTCGATGGCCTGGTTTGTCTTTGATTTTTTTTTTTTTTTTTTTTTTAAGTGAAAGCTGTCTCCAGGCACAGGAGCCCTTGTTGCTCAGGATCCCGTCTTCCCTAGGTGTGGTCCCAGTTTCAGCTTCCACTGTGAGGATGGGCTGTGAGGGGCTACCCTGTGGTAAGAACCTTCAGCCTTCCCCTTTTCATGGAGGAATTCTTGTTTTTAGGGTTTGGACCTGTAAAATCCAGGCATGGTCCCCTATCCTCAGAAAGCCTGTCAGCGATCTCCACCTTTTCAAAGCAGACCCCTGGTCTTCCTGTGCCGTCAGTGCCATAACTCCTGAGCCGGGCACTGTTTGTCTGCCTTCCCAGAGAGCTGGGCTGGGTCTTCTGAGCATCCAGCCTGTTTGTGGAACCATGAACACTCTTAGGAAGCAGGGGTGATAAAGGCTATTTAACTAGCACTTGCCCTCATGCTGGTTTCTATGGGTTCAGTATTTACAGAACAGTTAAACACTCCGTAATATGCACCTCTGAATTAATACAGTTGTTCCTGGGAATCTGCTGCTCCTGTTTATTGCTGTGGGTGTTGTTGAACTTCTATTTAGGGACTCAGGCTGTTGCATGGCTGGCAGGAGCTGGAGGTAAACCCTCTGACCCTGCGTGACAGGGTGGCAGAGCTTCCTCTGGGGAGAGCCTCACGTGTCAGCTGCACCTTCCATCCCCACCTTCACCTCCTCACCACGGGTTCACCACTTCCCCAGCTCAGTGCAGCTCTGCCCTACTTCCCCACTTTCCAGGGCATCAAGCAGGGAGTGGGTGCTCCCTGATGGAGCTCTGCACTCAGAGGTGCCCTGGGCTTCGCAAACAGGAAGCTGCTCACAGGCCTTTCCACCGCTGAAAAAGTGACGTGAAATTCGGGGGTAATTTGTGCACACACCTCTCTGTGGGAGCAGGATGGTCTCAGGCAAGTGCGTGATTTACAGCACCAGCATTCTGGGTGGGCCTTGTTCTCCGAGTCCCAGCAAAAGTTTTAATTCCCACTGTGAGCAGAGTGTGAAATGCACTGTGTGATACGTCACCCTCTGCTTTCCTGTGCCGCGTGTGCCCCCACCTTCCTGCCCCCTGTGTTCCTGTGGCTTGTTATTTGAAACAGAAGGTTAATAACTTGGAGCCCGAAGGCACACGGCCGACAACTGATCCAAGAACTACTGGATTTATGAAAACCCAGCCTCAGGCCCTTAATCCTTGCTAAACTGTCACGGTTTGGCGCAGCCGGTGTTCCTAAAGAGCTTCAGCCTCAACACTGAAAGCCCAAAGGTTGTGATATCTTGGCAAATCCAGGTAAATCTCTGAGACGAGCTGTGGGAAGGGGGGGCACTGCAGATCTGTTCTTTGGGAGGAAAAATGCAGCGTCCCTGGGCTTGCCTCGTGGGTAGGGAGTGGGATGTGGCCTGGAGCTTTATTTTCCTGCAGCCCAGCCCTCCTGTGCAGCCCATGAAGCAGTGTGGGTGAAACACCAGCAGTGGTGGGAGAGGAGGATGCCCAGGGGCTGGCTGCCAGTGTTGTGGAAAAACAAAATTAACTTCCCCTCAGCAACAAAATCAATTTGAGAGTGTTTTCCGTGAGAGAGCTGGCTCCTGGCTCGCTCCCCTGTGCTGCCTTCTCTCCCCAGGCAGTGGTGATGTTACAGGAAGGTTTTGAAAAAGAAAAAAAGCCACTTAGTGGTCACGTGTCCAGGCTGGAGGGTGCTCAGCTGCTGCTGACAGGGGTGGGAACGTGCCGGTGCAGTCAGGGCACCCCATGGCAGTGGGAGAGGCTGTGGTGGGGAACTGGGCAGGCCAGGGACAGGATCCAGTCCAGCCAGGGGTCAGGTTTTGGAGCTGGGGGGAGCATCTTGCAGCACAAGTAATTCAAACCAGGCCCCTGGGTGAAGACAGACCCGTGCCCACACCTCATAAAGATGTTCTTTTAAAAGTGCGTGGGCTGGGGTCCAACCTTGGCGCGCGTTGGGATGTTCCAGGATTGTGGGTTGAAGCTCTGCCAGTGATGGCAAAGTGTGAATGGCCTGAGATGGAACCAAGCAACCCAACTCGTGTGCTGCTTCCTAGGAGGAGGAGGAGGAGGAGGAGGAGGAGGAGGAGGGAGGTGTGAGGCTGGTCTCCATCGACCCCGGAGGTGATGGAGGAGGAGCTGGCAGAGGGCGGCTGTGCCGACCCCCGTGGGAGCTCCGTGCCGGGTGGGAACAACCTCCACGAGGTGGCAGCAGGCCCCCTCTTTCCTGCGTGGAGGGATTTCTGGTCTGGGAGACTGCGGAGCAGACCCTGGAGAAGAAGCCAACGAGAAGAGCCCAACACGGCTCAGCCCAGCACTTCTGTGTGCCTGAGAGCGTCTCCTGGGAAAAGTCTCCTCTTGGAGCAAGGAGGAAAGTCCAGCAAGAACTAACTCCAACAACAGTAAGTAGAGATCATGAGTTAATACAGGACAGCATCTATCCCTAGAGCTGCTTGCCCCTGGGATTTGTGATAGATCCTATTTCTCGGTTTTAACTGAGTGTTGAAACAAAAAGTCTAACAGCAAAAATAGCTTTACTGCCCCTCCCACCCTGGCAGGCCAGGTCACACCATTCCCCTTTTCATCACCTAGGGAAGGCTATCTGGCTTATGAGTGACTCTGTACTACTGTGATTAGCAGACCGTGGCCCAGCTCTGGAAACTCCACATATTATGACTGTGGCACTCCTTTGGGTTCCCTGCAGTCCCCAAGCCCTGGGGAAGATGAGATGAGTCCTGCTCTCCTGAAAAGGCTGGCAGGACCCCCCAGCACACAGGGCTGTGGACTTGGGGGGCAGTCAGGAAACAGGAGAGCACAAATGGGGGGCACAGCCACTACCTGAATACCCCCTCTGCCAAGCCCCCTTCTCCAGCTCACCCTACACACACCTCCTGCACTCAGGCAAGGGAGGCAGGGGCTCACCATCCAGGTGCTTACTCTGCCCGCCTGATACCCCCCCCATCCCCTTCCCTTTGAACTTGACTCCCCATGCCCTCATTTCTGCCTCCTCACATGGCTGCAATCCCGCCCCAGCACCACCGGCCAGGGACAGGCTGGGTGGGCAGAGGTGTGCAGGGCCTCCTCCTTCAGTCACCCTCCCAAACCCTTGGGGGCCGGGGCAGGCAGAGCTTGGGCAGCCCCTGCCAAGTGATGAATGAGCTGACAATAGGGTATTGATAAGGAATTAACCTTGAGCCCTTCTTGCTTCAGTGTCAATAGAGCAGGAGCCAAGTACACACGTTTGATTGGAAATCTGTGTTTGGCCTCTGTGCCCATTGACGTCCTGGAAAGATGAGAGGGGGATGTGAACTGCCCTGCTGCCCCCTCCCCAGCTGGGACCCCCCCCCAGTGGGTCCCCCTCAGCTTCCCCAGCCCGGTGCTGCTGGGGTTGGCCATGGGGACTCAGTTCTAAGGGGCTGCAGCAGCCTCTGTGCCCCTGACCTGGCATGTGGGGGGCCGGGTGCCAGGGCCCCCCTTGTTCCCCAAAGGGCCTGTGCCCATCCTGCACTGGCCTACACTCGGAGCAGTTTGTTTAATTAAGTGTTTTGCCTAATGGGATTGCCTCATTTCCATAACAAACTGGCGGGCTGTCATTAGGTGGGCTCCCTCATTCATTACTGTTAATTAGATATGGATCCCCCAGAAGGCGGCTCGGGGTGATGAACGAGGCCCCTGACACACGCTATTACACATTAGCATTTTCTCAATATATCCGATACATCACGGGCCTCCGCTTCCTAAAGATATTTTAAATAAAATATTAGCAGCCTGCTGCGGGGTGGGTGGAGAGCCCCTCACCCTGGCCTCAGGCCTCCTTTGGGCTGAAAGCAGACTGGAGAGTGGCTGAGACGCTCTGCTGCTCCTCACCAGCCAAAAAAGCGGCCAAATTCCCCCCTGCCCCCATTCCCTATCCTTGCCCCAGCAGATGGAAGGAGGTCCCTGACATCCCCACTGCCTCCTCCCACCATCCTGGGGACCCCCAGCACCCCATCCCTGGGGGAGGCAGCCATGGGGAGAGGGTTGAGAACACCCCATCGACCCGTCTGCAAAATGTTTGTAAACCGAAAGCGTCGGCGCCAGCCGCGTGCCGGGGGGAACCCGACCTCTGCCCCCCCGGCCCGGTCCCTGTGCCAGGGGTAACCCTACACTGCACTGGGGGCCCCTAATGCAGGATGTATGGATCTGTTGGGGCTGGGCGCCTCCTGCCCCCAACTAATGCAGCCGAGGAGACTTCATTATGGGGGTGTCCCCCGAGGGGTGCCCTTCGCCCTGCCCTCCTGGCTCTACGAGGGGGGACCAGTTGGGGCAACCCATCGGTGGTGGGGTCTGGCGAGTGTCCCAGCATCCCCCTGCATCTGTCCCTGCATCGCCAACAGGAGCAGGGCTCCCCTTTGGGACATTACCCACATCCAGGGGCTGTGCCGTGAGGTGGGGGGGGGGGAGCGTCTCCTCCGCTGCCTCTCGCCTGCAAAGGGAAACACAGAGAGGCGGAAAGCGCCTGAGAAGATTTATACTTGTTTAATTAATGTCAAATGTAGTTTACAAACGGGAGTGACAAGTACCTCTTTGTATAATATACACTGACACACAATCATCGACACACCGGAATATCGCTTTGTGCAACTGGGATTCTTTGGGCGAAGATAGGTAACTCTGATATTTCAGTATTTTTTTCTTTTTTTTCTTTTTTTTTTTTTTTTAAATCATTTAAACTCATTACAGAAGAGGGGAAGCGGCAGATGCCTCTTACAAACCGGGGTGCCTCTCTCCCCAGCCTTCCCTCAGCAGCTCCCCCCCCTTGAAAACAGGGGATGGCTTTACAATTTAAACAAAAAAAAAAAAAAATAAACAAAAAATAACCCCCAAAACAAAGAACCAATGACTAGTTACATATGGTTTTACACATACGTACATAGAGCACACGGCTGGTCCACAACACCTGCCAGAAAGCCTGGCTCCCTCCCAGGGCCAAGGAAGGGCTGCTTTGGGGTGTCCTGCCCTGTCTGGCCTTCCCTGGTTGTCTCTCAAACCCACTTGCTGCACCCTGTCCAAATCTGAGACCTCAGCACCAGCACACTCCCAGCTCAGCCATGTTTCCCCCGCCCAGGTTTTTCTCCCTTCACAAACCCAGCCCGAGCTGTGTGTGCCTGCCCTTCCCCTGCCCGAGTGCTGCTGGCTGCGGGGTCACTCAGCAGTGACAGCCCCTGGCCAGGCCCTGCCTGCAGTTCTCCCCGTGGGGCAGGACCCTCTGAGGGTGCCTCGGCTTCCTCTGGTCCCTGGGAGCTCTGCAGGTCCCTGAGCAGAGAAGGCTGCAGCTCTGTGGTCTCAGAGGCCACACACTGCTATGAGCTTGGAGACCCGGGAAACTCCCAATTAGGAATTGTCACCTTTTGATGAGATATTTATGAAATAACTGCTCCTTCAATTTGGTTTTTCTTTTTTTTTTTGATGCAGTGGGATCCTTCTGAAATCACTCAGGAGACGCCAAGGCCAGCGGCTGTTCTCTGCAAAACAGCACCAAACTTAGGGCAGGGAACACATCCTGCCCTCCACATCCTGCCTTCCCAGCCCTTCCCCCTCTGGAAATACCCCAGCGGCCCTGTTCCAAACCCCTCTTCCATTGCTGTTTCCAGACTGTCTTAAAACACCCCAGCCACGTTTTGCTGCCAGGTGGGATCCGCTTGGAAAGACCCTGCAGGAGCATGGGAGATGAGCTTCCCCATCTCCCTGTCTTCTGGCTGCGGGGAGCTAGGGCAGGGACACACGGAGCGGAGCCGGGAGAATTCAGCACACGAGGTCTTGGGAAACGGATCGGTATCTGTTTCTTGGGTCCTGACAATAAAAGAAAGAAAAACAAGAAAACCAGACCTGATGGCAGCTTTGGTTAAGGCTGAGGGTATGGGAGACAGGGACAAGCATGAGAGACTGCGTGGAAAGAGGCTGGGGCTGTGGGAGACCTCTGGGTTCGGCTGGAAATGTCTCTGCTGGACACCCTGGGGGGGTGGTGGGGAAGAGACAGAGCTGGCTTAGTTCTCTGCCTCAGGGCCAAGACCTCTAGGGCAAAATGCGGGCTGTAGGAGGGTGGGAGCTGCGGGGTGTGGGCGCAGGGCTGGCTCTGCAGGGATTGCACAGCTCCGGGCTGCTGCAGCCCCGCCCGGGAGGGAACTGGCTGAGATCTCCGGGCAAAGCCACCTGCACGACCACCCTGTCCCCTGCCATCCCCTCCTCCCCACCGTCCTGAGCAGCCCAGGAATCCTCAGCCAGCAAATGCTGCTTGGAGGAGAGGAAAGCAAGGCCGGGCAGGGGAGGGGAAGGTGCTACAGCCTTGGAGGAGGCAGAGGGGATCAGCTGGACCCCTCAAACAGGCACTCCCAGCAGGGAGAGAGGGCAGGGCTCCAGCTGACTCCCTCCTTCCAGCTCCACACGCTTTGCCCCTTCCCCAGCTGGAAAAGGCAAAAGGGCTGAGCCAGATTCCTCTATCCTGCCCGGCCCCCCGGTGAGGAGTTAAAAGCTGTGTCTTTCCGGGGATAACGATTCTATTATAAATAGCCCCATTAGCTACAACTAATGACAAAAATCCACCTCCTCTACTCCCCATAAGTTCTGTAAGTTATGGGCAATGCTACAGCCATTACTAAAAGCTGTTAACTTCATATCTGAATGAGGAAATATACACCACAGAACATTAAACCATTTATATTATATATATGTATATATATACTTTTTTTAAACTAATGACTTTAATGCCAAAACTTTGCTGAACCAAGAAAAATATGGGTTTAATGTTCTCTGCTCATTTTTTTTTTCTTCTTTAAAAAAAATACAACCCAAAGAAAAGAAAGGGAAACTTATTAGTATGTAATGTTTGAGTCTATCCCATTTATACACAACATTGTAAACATATATAATCTATATTACATGTGCTTCATTTCTGCCTGGGTGTGTTTTTTTTTTTTTCTTTAAACCTTTTTGTTATCACTAGAACACCACAAAAAACCAAAACAGAACCAAACCGAAAACCAAACCAAAACAAATAAAAAACAAAACAAAACAAAACTGAACAAAGAACACAAGTTACAGGTTATTTAACATCTTTCTGTCAAGGGTCCCTTCCCCAGTCTCCTGGGGGCAGAGTGGTCAACAACACAGTCCAAAGGAGGGCTCACGAGCCATCCACAATGCAAAGCCAGCTCCAGGGAACGGGTGATGGGGAACACTGGTTTTAAAAAAGGGGGGGGCTTCACAACAAAGGGTTTGGTTTTGCCCGCTGCAGATGCTGAAGGAGGTCTCAACTTGCGGGACCTGGCAGCCGAGGCTCCCCACTGCTCCTGTATCCTCGAGTCCGTGTCTGGAGTCTCTGGTTCGTTTGTTTCTTTAAGTTTTAAAACGTCTTTTTTTTGTTGCGGTCGTTCTCCTCCCCCTGGGTGTGACGAGCTGAGCCGGGTCGCTGGGTCCTGCCCCACCGCCGGCTCCTTCATAAGTAGATGCGCCGAAGGTCTCCGGGAGACGTGATGGTGTTGCACTGGGGACAGAGCTTCTTGGCACCCTGCAAGCAGCAGACGAGACACAAAGTGTGAGAGCACGAAGGACAACCCACACGGCCCTGCCCTGGGCCTGCAATCTCAGGGGAGCAGAAACAACCCCCCCTTCCCCCCCCAGTGAGGGGGGAATAAGCTGCCCTGCCAACAAGCTGCAAGAAGAGGGAGCCCCAACCAAGGCCTTTCTTGCCTGCCCTGCCAGCCCCTCATCCTGTTCCAGTCCCCAGCGTGAGGCAGCTGGGCAAGCAGGAGCTCTGGGGGGCTGAAACCCAGAGCCAGCGTGTGTCACCAAACTTGGCACCACAGGCTCCCAGGGAGATCTGCTCCTTTCTGTTTCTCTCGCTCACCTGCAGCCCTCAATGAGCCAGTTCAGGTGCCTGAACAGGCAGAAAATCAAGCCAGTTAAGTTTGGAACAAGTTAAGTTTTCAGGAGGGATGACTGAGCTGGTTCATGGTGGGCTTGGACCATCCCTTTCAGGGCAGCACGATGGGGCACTGCCTGGGACATCCTGCAAAAGCCCACGAGCTGTTGGCACGAAGGAAACCCTTGTCCTGTCTCCCCCCAGCTCACACAGATGCTGCAGAGATGAGTCGCTTCTGCCAAGGTGAGCTGAAACCAGCAAACTGTGATGTGAGCTGGGGTGGGGTAATGGGCGGCCGACATGAACACTACATGAAATAAAACAAGGGCTGATGAGCCATCTATCACAGAGCCTGACAGCAAGAGGTGTTAATAAGCCTCAGAATCGGGGTCAGCCTAAGCCGGTCATCATTAGATTGGCAGATGTGACAGACAACTGATGGGAAAAACGACAGGAAGAGGGCTCTGCTGTGAGGCAGCCTCCCATCTGCAGCACCAGCAGCACAGGAAATCGGGATGCCCTGGCTTTCAGCACCTCAACACAACCTCCCAAAGCGCAGAACTGAGCACAGGCTCTGTCCAAGCACCTCAAGTTTGGTCACTGCTGTCAGACAGGCCCTTCCAACAGCTCCCGCCCAGCGCTCGGCGTGACAAGCGAGATGACAAGGAGTGCAACACTGAGAACCTGCCAGCCTGCACGGGGCTGGCTGGCAGAGCTGAGGTCGTTTGGTTCAGTGATGTTGCTGCTCTCCCTGAGCAGGGCTTCTCGCAATACCTGCAGCAGTGAGTGTGGCAGCAGGGCAGGGCGCTGCTTCGGTACTGCTACCTGCACTTGGGTACATCCCTAGCAGAGGAGGTGGCATTGCTGCTTACAAAAGGCAAGCACCCTTAGAACAGGCCCTCTCTGCTCTGTGACCACACCTGCAAAGGCAGAACAGGGGCCTTTTCCCCTAGAAGTTCCTCGGGCTAAGGAGAATCTAGAGGAGAGACTCCCAGACACAGAAAATTTATATGGGTGCAAGTAGTTCGCAAGGGTGCAGCCCCAAAGAGGTGCAAGTCATGTTTGCTCTGCAGGACTCAGTACTACTGCAGACTAGTTTTGAACCAGCCCCCTCCCTGCTCCCAGTGCACATTATTCCTGGCAGACATGGACTTCACACACTTGCTATTCCCTGAGCTTTGGACTTTTGAACAATCAGGCTGCCTTTCGACAGCCCTTGCTGATAGCGGCTCAACAGCTGCCCTGACACACGAGGGGACCATGGGCCTTTGCCCCTGAGATTTTTGAACCAGCCACACACAAAGTCTTGTTGAGCTAGAGTTGAATGAAACACGTGATGGACACCCGAAACACCTTAGGCATCACTCTCAGGGTGAGCGACAGACTGGCAGTGGGACAGACCACCAACTCTGATTCTAATGCCTATGGACATGTCCTTCTAGTTATCTGGGACAACTACTGTGCCTGTTTAGATTTTCTACCTTCTGGGGCAGGGACCATCCCACTGTGCCTGCGCAGAAAGGGCAAGCTCTATCCCAATAAAAATTTGCTGCAGTGCCAACCAATACAAAGAAGAGAAAAATGTAAACATCTGCCCTTTCTGACACTGTGGGCCAGTGTGCACAGCAGCACTCCCAAGGAGGGGCTCACTAATCTGGATGCAAATGCCACGAAATAGCCTGTTTCATCTGAGTCCCTGCTCAGTTCCATGCAGTTCCCTGGTCCTTCATCAAGGCACCTGTTGCACCTGGTTGCCCTCTTGGCATCATCTTTGTAGCCGGAGGGTCCCAAAGGAAGTGGCAGGGAGGTGTTGAGGAATTAATTCACAGCATGTTGTCTGAGGGACAGCTTTCCTGTGTGCCCTGACAAGCAGAATTAAGTGTGCGTGGGGATGTTAGGCATTCCAGATGGAACTACTGGCCACATCTGTGTCCACGCTCCCTTTCCCAAGACAAGCACGGCTTACACACAGAAGGCAGCAAAGCATCCAGCCAAGCAGTTGGAGCTTCTGCCTCTCTGGACAATGCACCAGGATACAATGGACCTTCTGCAGGACCAGCGTTCTGACCCACCGAATGCCTCAGCCTGCCTTCAGTCTGGGGCGAAGGATGGACAGTGCTTGCTGCCACCTCAGACCACGCCCCTGCTCCTCAGTGCCCCTGTGCAAGGCTCAACAGCACTTCTCCAGCTGCTCCTTCACCTTCACTGCAGTCAGAGACATTTGCCTGCAGGAGGGTGGGGCAGAGCACTGAACCTCCTTGCCTTTGCTTCTACTAAAAAAGCCAACCTCAGCTGCTGCTGCCACCTCACTCCTGTACCTCCTGCTCCATTCTGGGATGTGGAGCTGGACTGAGACAGCTGTGGACAGATGTGTGTGACCCTTAGCAAGGGCAACCTTGCTAACACAGACCAGACAGCTCAGAGCAGAAAATTTCGGAAGTTTGGGTTCCTGGAAAGCCACTCTGACCAGGTCTGCAGCAGCCCTCCACAATCAGCCTGCAGGGATGGCAGAACAAGCCTGATTAAACCAACTGCAGCTTTGGCAAAGCAAGGTCAGGTGTGTAGTTCCTTTACGCCACAGGGAAAGGGAAGATGGGTGGATTTATCTTGCCATACCCTGGGATCTCTGACCCTGAGATCTATTTTCTGTACCACAGGCCGATGGCTTTAGGGGGATCTGCTCTCTCACCTCAGGATGAGCTGCACATCCCAAGGCTGAGCTTGGGCATCCCAAGTTTCTTCAACCACGCCACGAAGCAGAAACAACCACATAGAGCTTGACCTATTTTCTGCAAAAGCTGCATGATCACAGACTGATTTAGGGCAGTGGTGGAAGTTGCTTCACCTGCACGTGGGCTGGAGCTCTGAAGCCTGGGTATGTTGGAGGGAACAATGGCAACCTGGAGCCCTTCAGCAGCCTGGCCTGAACGCTGCACAGGCTGCACGTGGCACGCTGGGCTCAGGGTCTCTCTAGTACTTATGCTCGGTATTAACAGTTCAGGCAAAAATAATTACTTTGGACCCTTGGGGATGCATTTTTCTTTCTTTCTGTGAAATAAAACCGTCCTCCTCTGCACACATAAGCATGTGTGTTAAATTCAGAACTAAGTCCCGATCTTTTTCTTTTTAGATTGAAATTACTCAGAACCTTGTTCCTTACATCTGACTTTCCGAGTAGGTGTACGAGGTTTATCAGCACCAGAGTTTAAGCTCTCCTCTCTTGTGGAGAGGCACATAAGCTTGTACACACACACATGCTGGCACAGGCACAATGAAAAAGCGTTTGCTCCCCTACTGCTCACCTGCCAGCTGGGGTTACTAAACTTTTCCCTTGAAATAAAAATGCTGTGGAATAATAAGTCCCACCTGTCGGCCATTTCTTTCTTTCTTTTTTTTTTTTTTTTTTTCCAGGTCCTTCTGCTCCTTTCATCATAGCTACATGGAAAAGCCTTGATGTGTTATAGCTGTGTGTGCTAGAGTAAAGGCCACCTCAGCTTTTCCATTATAAACCCCAGTTTTGAGGGGTTTATAAAACTCTGCTGCAAGAAGTTTGCTCCAGGGCTGTTACAAAGCAAAGAAACGGGGCTGGAACCAGGATGGAGTTTATTTTTTCTCCTCCTTTCTTAATTAAAATTTGGCAAGTGATTGATCCGCAATACAGGCTAATCACTTGGGGTAGTAGTTTGAAAAATACATTAACGAGAGCTGAGATGTTGAAAAGTCGTTAGGGCTTACACGGTGCCAGGAAGGATTGGAGGAGTTTGTCTTAAAGTTGCCTCTTAAAAAAAAAAAAAAATGGTGTGACGTCTGCTATAAATTGGCTAAGGCAGGGAAACTCAAAAGGAAGGATTTTAGGCACTTCCTGCTGTCCTGTGGGTCTAAAAATGGGCAATTTCCAAGTACAATATGCTACCAGGCACAGAGAATAAAGAGAGAGACACACACACACAGAGCAAGTAGAGGAAGTAAAATCAAAATAGAGAGATGCAAGAGGGACCCAAACCAAGAGCCAGCTTCTGCCAGGAGAGGAACACAATGCCAAGATCCAATTCTCAACCAAGGTGACAGCCCTCTCTCCCACCCACGCCTTCACATGAAGTGGCAGCTTCTTCTCTGCCAATGCCAATTCCCAGAGAAGCAGCTGTTCCCCACTGCCGCTGGGGGGTACCCTCCAGCTGTCAGCTATTGGGGTCAAACCACCAGGAGAACAGTTTTTTTTACAGAGCCTCCTCAAAGGGTGGAGCTCACCCCCAGAGGCTGCTGGAGGCCAGAACTGAAAAAATGTTAATAAATGACCCAAGAACCTCACTGCAAACAGGGAGCATCATGAACGATCAAGTGCAGCATCCTCCATGCAGCTGCTGACCCAGGAGGTCCCTGTGCTGCTGGAAGCACCCAGGGATCACCCAGAAGGACTGCTCTGTGCTGTTCTGTACAAAACTACTCCAGCTTGCATGGGTATTGAAATGGCAAAGCTAAAAATGCAGTAATCCTGCAAAGATACAAGTGTGTCACCTGCTGAGGACATATATCTATTGATGGATCCCCTGGAAGCATTCTATGATGAAGAAGGCTTTTTAGAAGTGTGTTTTTTTTTTTTTTCTGCTCTTACAGTTGTCATTTCCAAACAAGCCCAAGGCAGGCAAGCACAAGCCTGGGGTCAACAAATACCCATGGGAAATGCTGGCTCTGGCTGTAGAGGTGATGGGGGATACTCAGTAAACTGCATCTGCTCAAATAAACCTGTCCTCTTTCAGCCCCTGCACCCACAAACAGCTCCATCATTGGCAAAGAACAGCCTGACTTAGCTTCTAACTACATTTACTTCCTAAAGAAAGACACCAGGGTTTGGGAGATCACAGAATTACAGCTCAGAGGGATGTCAAGAACTCACCAACCCATTCCCCTTGCAAATATCACCTCAACTTGAGTTACTGCTGACAGACACGCACCAAACCTGTTCTCACAAACCTCAGAGGAGGGAGGTGCCAAACCTCCCCAGCAAGGCAGATGGCCAGTCTCTACTGCTAGAGCACCCTTCCCAGGAAAAGGAAAACACAAATTCCACACACTAGTAGCTGTACTAATGTTAACTCTCAGTTAATTGGGAAGGATGGAGAAGGGGCAGATTGTTCCACAGGGAGATTCATCCCCAGTGACTCGGGGCTGCAGTCCAACAACCAGCTGAGGACAGACACCTGCCACAGGGACAGTCGCTGTTCAGGGACACGAACCCACCTCCTGCTGCCAGGCTAAGCCTTCCTCCTGCAACATCATTTCTTTCCTACCTTGGAAGAACCTGCACATGTGTTCAGGGCTTTCCAAAAGGGATCACAGACAAGTTATTCCAGACTTGTGTCCCAGTTTCTGCATAAGTTTAAGATATCAACTAGTTCTCAGCACGCAGGGTAGGTGAATGAAGAATGTCACTGTGTTGAGTGTCCCAGACAACCAGCAAATAGGGAGCAGCAAGCTCATGGTTGTGGTTTGACACCACCAAAGTCAGAGGATACTAGGGATGCTCTAGATCATTGTAGTATCAAATCCTAGAAAATGTTTAAACCTTAGGTCCACAGATGGATGTGAGCATCAAATTTCACCCTGTGTTCAATACCCTGCAGAGGTTTAGAATTGCTCCCAGGCAACTCTGAACCTTCAGTTCCGGGGCCTTGTTCAGTACACGATCCTCACTCCCTCAGACACACTCACACCCTAATTTAATATCAGATCTTGGCCGGGCACACGAACCACAGGGACACGGGAGAAAGGGGACTTTTCACCAGCAGGGATGGCAGATCTCCAGAATGTTCAAAAGGGGCCGGAAGCCCAACACAACCTGCCCGCCCCAACTCCTATTAACTCCAACAAATTGTTTATTGCACAACAGAAGAAAAATGCTGCCCCTCTCCCCCCAGCCAAGTCTTTCCATGTGTGCTGCACGCGCAGGCTCCCTCCTCCCAACCCCACTGGGGAGCCAGCTTTATACCCAGGGAAAGGTAACAGCAGCGATTATTACACACACTATCCCACAGCTCCTCGCTTGTTAAAAAAAACAAGAGTCTCTTTTGTGCCCGAAATAAAAGGAGATACCTTAATTAGAACAATGCAGGTTGGTAAGCATTAAACACTGAGCCCAGCTGCTGTATGCCATTAAATTCATAAAAAAGGAGGGGGGGGAAGGAGGGCAGTCTTAACGAGATTACACACATTGACTTTGATCAAGACACAAAAGCACCAAGGCGTTCCAGGGTTTTTATTGCTGTCTTCAGGCTACATTTTAATGGTTACATTAGAAACATGCGAACACAGGCTGGGAGATTTTTTTTGAGATGGGAGAGGGAGCGCAAGCATGCCTTGTGAAAAGGCCTGGTTTAATAAATTGGGGGCTGCAGGGAGAGGCTAGGACTGGGGAACACATGAGTAGTCACTTATTAATTGCTTCCCCTATGCAAGTGCCAAGTCTTAACATGATGTCTTGCTGGACTATTCCCATCCTGCCTGCCTGGTCAGCAGAAGAGCCACGTGCAGATCACACACAGCCAGCTTCATCCCCACCTTTCTCATGGAATTCTAGGGGGAGATGGCTCCCACTCTGCAAAGAAAATGCCAGTTCTGGAGTGAGTTTCCCTGTTCTCATGAGCAGTGTTCATGCTGAACATGACACAAAGGGGCCTGACTGAAGTTGAACCAAGTTGCTGCTGAGTCTAAGAGAAGCCTGAAATTGGTGCCATGGATTTAGAAGGTGACTTGAGGCCGGCAGGAAGAGGAGAAAACAAAGACTTCAGAGTAAATAAAATGGAAAGTATGTTAGTGTTTTATCCTGTGCTTGCAGCACTGCTGAATGACAAGATTATTCTTCACTTAGCAAAGGTGGCAGAGCACACATTCATCCCAACACCTCACAGCTACGTGCCCACATATGTGTCTTTTATAACATGCTGCTAAAATGTTTACAAAAGCTTGTATAAACTAAATAGTGACGGGGTGTAGCTGAAGAGCTGTAAAATACAGCCCAAGGGATAGCCAAGTTATTGAGTTGCTAATAGTGCTCAAGCCCACAGGCACTTCACCATCCTGGTAACTTTTCTTGGACAAGACTTTTAAAAGGTAGGATTTAAAGGAGCATAGTCAGCTTAATCGTAATTCCAAGCACACAACGTGTTCTATAAAGCAGAGTAATGCCTTACAGGAACAAGTTTTTAGGAGTGGCACTCCCTTACGTTTTTTGCAACCCAACACTGTATCATCTTGCTAACAGGAGAACTAGAAAGCACAACTATTTTCCACTCCCCAACCTAAGCAAAATAAAGTTTCAAAATCAGCTGCAGAGGGGACGCTAAAGGCTGATTATAAAACCCACAGTTTAAACACAGGAAAAGGAAACACTTTATTAAATAACAAATTTTAACCCGATGTTCTTTAATAAATGTATAAATTGCTGCTCTGCTGCATCACCTATTCCATGTTCAAGGCAGTCCCCAAACTTCTACACAGGATGGCACATGCTTGAAAACTAGGGAGTGCTATTTCAAATAATCTAAAAAATACAGATCCATATTCATAAAAGCTCCATTCCCATATTCTCTCTACTGAAGATGATTTCCTTTGCTTTGGGGGAATATTACATTTCTCAGAAGCCACCCATTCCATGAAATCTCAGCCAATTTGGCCTCCATTCTCACAGCTTTACCTCTCTGCATGGATGCCCCACAGGAAATTACTTTAAGGCAAGGTAGTCCCTGGCACAGAGCTCTTCAAGGAGCAATGGCTGTGCCCACAGGTAGTGGAGCAACAAGCAAGGGGCAGGACAGCACTTTGGTCACGACGACTCAAACAAAACTCTCTCATGTCAAAGCTAGAGTGGGGTGTTACACAGCAAGGCTTGGGCAGTCTGCAGGCACAGCGCTCAGACTGTCTAAAATGAAGCAAAAAGCACCTTTCCCTGTGATGATCTAAAATAAAGTATCAAAGAAGAGAGGAAAAAGGCTGTAAGTCAATAAGAAAGTAGTCAAGAGCCTCACCAGAGTCCGCAGCCAGCATTCTTCACAGTGCACATGCCAGCACTGAATGGAAGTCAGGGGCATTGTGTAGGAGTCCTGAGGAGAAGAAGCAAACAGGTTATTTCCACAGCAGGGATGTACTGATTCCTCACTCCCAACCCCATCACAAGGCCTCTCTTTGTGGGTAACACTGCCTGGTATTTTGTGCAATATGTAAGTTGTATTTTTGTAATGTTTGTATAGAAGAGTCTCCTGCAGTCCCTTTTCTTGGCTTCCCAGAACTCCTGTTGGAAGCCCATAATCCACTCTCGTGGTGACCTGGCTCAGCAGAGTTATCGCAAAAGCATCTGAAGTTGCTGTGGCCACCTGCCATTATTCTCATCAGAAAGGTCACCAGATCACACAAAAACCAGTGACAGGGCAAGATCAACCCTTACCACAATTCACAGCTCTGCAGGAACAGCTTAACTACATCCCAAGAATACTGCTGCTCTTTCAGCAGACATGCCTTCTTGAGTATCTTCTATCATTCCTAAGAAACCTCTGGAAACGAGCAGCAAGAGCAAGCTGTTTTTCTTTCCGTGGGGTGAATGGCAAGGGCTGCACTCCCACAGCTACGAGCCGTGAGCTGGCTGGCAGAGTATCCAGCTGAAGTTGCAGAGGGAGCTCTCCACCAGGCAGAATGTTCTCCTGCTCTGAGCAGAACAGAAACCCAACAGGAGATGCAGAGCCCTGCAGGCTCAGACCATCAGAGGGAGCTGCTGCCCTTCTTTAGGAAGGCCACAGCGTCAGCACGGAGCAAGCAGGGCATCAACAACTTTAAAATGCTCAGGCAACATTCCTGTTCCCCAATTGGAGAAGGTGGGTCTCTGATCACAGATTCTGTTCTCTCCTATGTATGTAAATGTGCACATGTAGGAAGAGGACGTTTGGTATCTGGGAGTGTTCTATAGGAAGGCTCAAAGTCTTTTGGAGTTGGAACTTTTTTGCCTGGATATAGATGGACAGCTGCAAATACCAAAGGAACAAATTAACGCCTACAGAAATTTTGGTTGCTAAAACCACCTTCATTTGGAAGGCTTAATAATTGGTGATGAGCTCCCCCATTCTGCCTGAAAAAAGAAGAAAAGCTTATCCCCCTCCTCAGCAAAGATACCAAGGCATTTCTGATTCATTAGCACCACTGGAGTGCTACTCACCATGCAAATGAGACATTTATAGCGGTCCCCACGGGAAAGCTGCCTTTCTAACTCACGGACACGAGCCTTTAACGCTTCAAATGTTGTCACTGCAGAGTCTTCTGTAATTCTGCAAAAGATGATGGAGCGTGAGCATCACTGAGCACGCAAGACTGTTTGGAGTTTTGGGAGAAAAAGGATCCCACAACAGGTACGGCACAGGAAATGGCATAACACTCAAACTAATACATACACCTTGGGGTAAAGAAGAATTCCTGAAAAGCCCACTGTGAACTCTTAAAGTGTCCTACTAAATACTTCCAAACACACCACCAAAGAACACAACTGATGCTGGAGTTGGCAGCTTCATACAGAGCAAATTTCCACAAGACACAGACATTTAAAGAACGGGTATTTCTGCTGTTTTTTTTTTTTTTGTTTTGTTTGAGTTCTACCTTTTTTCTTGTCTCCCTTAAGAGATTACTTAGGATCACACGCTTGAGACAAAGTTCTGTACGTTGCTTTAAAGCTGCTGAGAACTTTTTGTGGGCAATAGGAGCTGTTCTTCCCCTCAGAGAATGGAGGCCTTTGCTGGCCATCAACCTCATGTAACGCAACATCAGCTCATTACACAGGATCAACACAGTGCTTTTATATTAATGAAAGCCCTGGCTTTTTGGGTTCTAATACTGAAAAAAAAGGGAGAAACCAAAAGCACTGAACACTGCCAACAGGGTGGTTATAAAGGCAGCTTCACAATCTGCTTTCCCATTTCCTAGGGTCATTTTTGATAGGCAACATTCTCTCTTTTGTCACAGAGGCGCTGTGCTGAGGGCAGGCAAGTGTATTTTCGTGGTTCTGCAAGGCTGGTGAAAAGAGCAACTTGCCAACCTAAAAGCAAGAGCAGACAGCAATGCTTAGCAAATGAGACGCAGGGAGCATTATAGACAAGGATGCGTCACTGGCATGCTGCAAAATCTGATTTCTACACAGTTCAGGAATAGGGAAGGGCCCTCAAGCATTCCCCAGGAAAGGTTTAAAGCACTGACATAAAGGTCTTCACTCTTGTGAATAGAAACAAAACAACGATTTTCATTTATGTCAGTGAATTTCAGGTCTGTCCAAGCAGACTCCAGCTCAGAAGAACCTGAAGAGTGTTTCGCCACCAGAAGCTGCATCATCAATCACAACATAACCCACAGTGGCACCCATGTGTTCTGCCTTTTTAGAGGATGATTCATCAACAGGTGGCTGTAACACGGGTCTAGTGGAATTATTACAACCAGCAAAGTGAGCTGCAGGTTCAGCTCTCTCTCTGCACACACTCGCTCACTCTTCTGTTCATTAGTCACCTGTTGCCGGCATGCAAGGAAGGACCTGGGGTATCTCCCACGAGGTGATTCTGCTGGCTTTTCCCAAGCCTTTGGTAAAAGAGTTAGTCAAAGAGATCCTGGATGATTTTTCTAATTATGACACTTCAGAAGAAAGCGGAGCTGCTCGAGTGCATATGGTTAAGTACTCGTGTTATAAAGCTCCTTCAACTTCCCTCCTGCCTTTGTACAGATCAGACGTGCTCTGCACGAGCTACCAGAGGAGATCTTCATCAGAAGGAGATTCATTGGAAGTGACAGTTGCTAGGAAATGGTAACAATTTTAAAACTGCAAAAAAAGGCAAAGAAATACACATGTCCCATGATGGCCTAGTGGGTAAAGACTGTCTGGGGACAGGAACACTGTGGCTTCAAGTCTTAGAATCAATAAATATTCTCTGGAGCAAGATGAAAGAGCTTCAGTAGGAGACAGCCTTCCCTGCTGTGAAACACCCACTTGCTCCTACCCACTGGTATGAATTATTACCATATCCCAGCTTGAGTTCTCACCCCTAAGGAAGAGTTGCTAGTATTTTCAAAGGAAGCCTAGAAAGGTGTTAGTTTTGTCTAAGGAAGAAACAGAATTATTTATTTATATCTTGAAGATTACTGCTGGCTGAGAAAATTGTTTGCCTTCCAGTCTGGCCCACCAACGAGCTGATGCTGGGTGAAGGCTGAAGTTGAATTTGACTTCCTAGAATCCATTTCTTTTTCCTGCATCCACAAGGGCACTGGAGGTATAAAGGCAGTGAGTGTGACTGCTGCCCAGAGCAGGTGGCCAGCAGAACCTCAGCCCTTGCTGTCTTCCCCTTTCACCATCTGTGGAGCTATCTGTCCTCCTCTGATGGGTGGGTGACTCAGCAAGAAAAGGGAAAAGTTGATTTCTTGAGCAGATACAAGCAAACACTTTTTCAACCCCAGTAACAAGTCAAAGCCTGAAGAGGAAAAATTTGCCCCTGCAACAACTAGAGGAGATAGAAAATGGTTTGTTTATAGAAATCTAAATGGTTGACCCTCATCGGCCAATTTTGGAAAGTCTCTGAGATAATCGCACCTGTCCAGTAATAAACGAATGAATCAGAAAAGGAGGCTGAATAGAGGCATAAGCAATAATGCTCAGAGGCTGCTTGATACAATGGCCAATCAATAGGAGGGCTGTAGATCAGGGTGCTAGTTAGCTGGAAAATTACCGCACCGCTGCGTGCGTCACGCTGTAGGGATCCTGGACAATCAATGTGGGAGGTATTGATTTAGTTATTATCACTTCATACGCTCCAGACATTGTTAAATATACATTTATTAACAAGACTGGGGTGCATTGGTAAGAGAGGGAGCTTTAGCCACCGCAGCATCTCCCAGTGCTGATCAAAGCTCAGCTATGACAGAATTTAAACCCCATGTTCTCCCTGCCAAGTGTGCTCACAGGACAAACCCTGACGCACAGCACAGTTGCTGGAGACACAGCTCCTGACTCATGACAGAGATAGGAGTTTTGGCCGCAAGTGAGTATTTTGCACTTGAGATTTCAGGAAAACCTCTCGGAGCAGCAGCAACAAGGGACGTGGCGGCCAAGGGTCAACCCAAAGTGAGCGATAATTGCATGGTTGCTTCCGAAAAGCCAGAGGAAATGAGGTCAAGGGAAATAGGGAGAACATTAGTAAATAAAGGAAACTGAAACTACCTCCAGGGATGGAATAAAGACCCGAGTCACTTCCCATGTGTCTGGCTCCCGTGGTGGCCAGCACACTTGGGACACATGCCATTCCATTTAGTGACATTTTACCGTCAACCTGCTGCTTGTATCCTAAAGATAAGCATCGCTTAGGAGCAACTCTTCCTGCAGCAGCAATCTTGGGAACTCCCTCAGGCTTCCCTCTTGTGTGCACACCTCATGTGTGCCTGCCCGGACACAGCTGGGAGCAGCCTTGGGCAGTATTTTTACAGGGTAAGGCCAGGGTGGAGCGAGGGTCAGAAAGCCAAGCTCCATGGACAGGGTAAGGCTGTGCACAAGTTACCCTGCCAAGTGAGGCAGAGGGGATTACACAGAAGAAGGAATTGGCTCTCTGCTTCGCCTTGACCTCGTGCTGGATGCAGGAGGGCTCTCGACAATTTTGCGCCTCAGCGCTCCGATCTGACGCGTCGGGATAACGTCATTTATCAGCCTCCAGAGAGACCTGCTGAGCACGACTGCTGCCAAGAGCAATACCTTGAGACCCAGCACTGGTGCTTCTCCAGCAGGTGCAAGTGGCCTCCCTGACACCTGAACTGTCCTCCCTGGCTGAGGCCGCACCAAGAGGGCACAACCATGACAGAGCAGAGACTCGCTGTGGACCTACACCATCACTGCGAGAGAACATTTATACAGGAGCGAAAACAAGAAGGGAGAGCTCCTTGTGGAGGAAGCTGGGTCTTGTACTTCTCTCTGAACTTCGTGGTTAACTCTTCCACAGCTTGGCAGGCACAGCTCAGGATGCTGGGTGCTAAGGAGCAAGTCTGTGAGACTGGGCAAGACAGCACGCGGTAATTTTCAGTCTTTGTGCCCAACACACATTTTTCTACTACTCACAGCATTTTCCCCTGAGCACTTAAAATAAGAACAAATTGTATTTCTCTGAGCAAAGCCTTGCTTTGTTTAGATAAAAGGCCAGAAGAAGTGCACAAAAATACCACGGTGGAGGAAAAAAGACCTATCTGTAGCTTCGAGCTGTTAGGAAGCAATCACCCCCTGGGAAATCTCCCCCGGGAAATGGCTGCCCCCCCTCTTTGAAAAAAACTTTAACCCAAACACTGGTTATTTGTTAAACATTAGCATGCATGTGATCTTTGTTTCTCCAAATTAAATCGAGCAATTCCTACCCACTGTCCCAGTGGGCAATCACAGGCAATTCCGTTAATTAAATTATCTCTGATTCTGCAGCTCTGGAATCTCTCAATTGACTAAGTCTGTGCTTTATCATCAACAAAATACTGGACCAAAAAGGAAACAAAAAATGCTGATGTCAGAGTGATTGGCTTCGGTTAACCCTTCCCAGCTGGATATTAAGGGCTGCTCAAGAAACTGCTGTACTGGAACGAGCCCAAGAGCGAGAGCCTCGTACCACAGATACCAGCAGCAGCTGTTCACTTGTGTTCCCTTTCCACTGTACAGAAAAACACAAACATCAGACAGCCACTGCATCCAGCATCCTGCCTATTTCAGAGCGACAGAAAGATGCAAAGTGTTAGCTGCTGAAGAAGCAGAAAAACACCTCAAAGATCAGCAAGCCTCTGCAAATACTCCATCCTCACCTTATCTAGACCTAACTTGATGTATCCTGCTGTTGAGGTGTCTCCATAAAACATTCCCCTTTGGTTTATTTCAACTGGATATAAATTTTCCTTTCTTCATAAACGGCCACACTGTACACAGCATTCCATAAATTTTTACAATTCCACTGTTTGTATGTACCTTGTAAAAAACGCTTAGCACTGATTAAACGCTCTACCAATAAAATTTCATGGGCTACTTTTGACACTTGATATTCTGACCTTCTTCTCTCTTCCTCATACATTTATTTTTCCTTTCCTGTGCCTGTGAACACAGACTGGCAGAGAGGAAAATGTACAGTACCACTGACAAACCCAAGAGCGACGCATTTATTTTTAAACAAAGCCTTTATCTTCCCCTGTACAAAGTGGAGAACCTGATCCCAGCAGAACATACATGCCATCTCCCTGCACCAAGGGCAGAGGTCAGGTCACTAGCAGCTTACATATCATA